CCAGCATCTACAGGTACAGGCGTTAAAGTACATTAATGCTGTGTGTGGACTGACTTGGGACTAAAGTTAATCCCAAGTCAGTCCACACATGCACAGTTACTCTGCTTTAAGGCGTCTACCTGTGCATTACTGCTCAGTAACTAATCAGGTGTGAATTTGATACCTGCAGGATGCAGGTATCATATTTACACTCAGGTCAGCATAAGTCGCCATATTTACTGCCCAGTATGGGCGTGCATGTCTAGATGTGCACCTGTACTGCACAGTAATTTCGCGCCCATACTGCACGGCAAATGTACATGTATAGACACACCCAGATAGGAGGCATGCAAGAACCCAAGATAAGGCAACCATGCTCATCAGGAGACAATTAACCACTCTTTACCACGTTTGCTATTTTTGGGGTGGGGTCAGCTTTCTGCAAACACAGCAGCCAATGACTGACCGCTAAAGGGATGACTCAATCCCAGCTGGAGTGGGGACCAATCACAATGTTTGTATAATAGTGGCTGTCTCAGGCCACGGAGCGGACTTCACAAAGACTCCTGGACTTTTCTGGAAGATCTGCATAGTCCAAGAAGTTCCCAGACAAAACCCTTCCACTCATCCCAGTACTTCCGTGTTGTTCTCTCCCTTTTTCTTGGAAACTGTGTAGTCACTTAAGCTTTCTGCTCCCCACAGCTAAAAGTTCAGATTCTGTTCTCCGTAGGAAGTCAGGAGTTCTGTCTTGGCAAACTATTATCTTAGGTGATCGCTGAAGTTATCCATCATGTGAGTTTTGCAATTTTCTTTGTAGATTTTGTTCTTGCAGCAAATTACTAGAGATAGAAAGGTAGTATCTGTTCAGTAGAGCTGACATGTATACATACAGCCTTTTCTGTTCTCCAGGCTACTCTTGGTAAGATACTGCACGTGAAGCTCTTTTCCATTACTACGGATCAATAGCTGGGACACAGCCCCCTCTTCAGCAAACAGGGGAGGTATTAATGCACAGGTCTCCATCCTTGGTGGGATTGGTCACCCTTCTCTACCTCTCAAGGCAGGTTAGAGGACTTTGTGAATCATGTTGTGTGGCCTTAAAACAACTGTCACCTATCACAGATATGACCCTTTTCTCTTGCCTTTCTCTGAGGAAAGAGCCTTGCTCATCTCCCAAGGACAGTCTCCGTATTTGCTCTTTCTTGGCATTCGGTGCTGTAGCTGCAGTTAAATACAGGGCCACTGATTGTATGAGAGAATGGAAAAAGACAGCTGAGTATAAAATCTTTTGTGGTCCCACTGAAGTAACCTCAAGCAGCTGAGCCTCTGAAGGGCATGAAGCGTGAAAGGTGGAAGTGGCAGCCTTATATATGTTGTAGTTCAAGTCTGTGCTTTCATATTTCCTCTCTCTTTCAGCTCACAGCTGACTGCCTGAAAAAAGTGCTACCTTCTGGTATAGGATAGTCCCCATGTTGTGAATGTCATGCTGGAAAGAAAGACTGTTGCATCTCTCTACTGGTCCTGGGTATGACTGTAAACTGTTCAACTGGAGGGCCTAGTGGCAACGTGGTAGGGCTACTCGTGGCAGGGTAGCTCCTATAAAATACAGCAATGCTGCAACCTGCAGAGTAAGGGGAGTAAAGGGAGCCTCAAAACCTTAGCCCCCACTGCCTTGTGGGTACTCCTGGGTTGGAAGAAGGCTAAGGGACGTGACCCGGACAGAAACCCACTCTTGCTGAGGCATTAGGCAGTCAGCAGCTGCTCTTATCTGTTGCTCTCTGGCAGAAGCTACAACCACTGAGGCACTGAACACCTGGACTTGGTCTGGCCTTTAGATTCTGTCTCAAAGGTCTAAAGGGCGGATGGTCGGTCTCGGGCAGCCTCCACTTCTCAATACGCTTACTTAGGCGTATGTGTCAAGGGTCTTGGTAACTAGACTTCGTACGCATACATCATGATCTAGAGGACTGATGGTTGCTTCCTCTCGGCTGTGGTATTCTAGCAAATTCCATGAGGATACAATTATACTGACTATAAAGAATGAGTTTCTGAATAGCAATCTAGTGGAGGGTGGAAGAAAATAGCTCCAGAAACTGATGTTTGTGTTGGTTTATAGGAGTCTGTAGCAGTCCAATTTAGCATCTGCGTGTCCAAGAAGTGACTTTTGTGTTGCTGACTTAATGCTATAATATCTTGTGTTCTACACTAAAGATTTATTATAATAATAATCTTCCATCCTGAGGGAATCCAAAGGTGCTTCCTACATTTTATGGGTTGTGTAAATTCTATATATCTAGAGATCACTTTATCCAGCACTGAAGTGCAGCCACTTCTAGGACAAAATGTGGCACTATTGAATGATGCACAGAAATAGAGTTCTGCAAGTTTAGGACAGGATCTGAAAGGTGTGAAAAGTGTTCTGGCACTGGACAGGACCACCTCATTTGCACTTTAACAAGCAGAGGACAATTAAAACTCAATGCATATTGTGATAACCACAAGAACTCCAGACTTTGACTTCAATTTCATTTAAAACCTATAACTTCCTGGAATTCACTGTCCCATAATTCATATTATATTCATAATTCATGGAAAGGAGGGGTCATCACTAAGGAGAACTATTCAGCAGTTGCTCGGGGATGTAGGGGGATGGTTAGGAAGGCCAAGGCAGAGATGGAACAGGGGCTGGCTTCCCGGATTAAGGACAACAAGACGTCCTTTTTTAAGTACATAGGGAGTAGAAAGAAGGCCCCAGGAAATGTGGGGCCCTTGCAGGACAAGACGGGGAATCTGGTTGTCACGCCAGACGACAAAGCCAACATATTTAATAACTTCTTTGCCTCTGTCTTCCTCAGTAAGGACCAGAACTGCCACCTCCCTGCTGGGCCCCCTTCGGGCCCCGGGGGAGGCTCACCTGGGCCTAGGGTGAGTGAGGATTTAGTTAGGGAGCTTCTGGAGGGGCTGGACGTTTTTAAGTCAGCCGGCCCGGATGATCTTCACCCTAGAGTCCTAAAGGAACTGGCTGGGGTCATTGCAAGTCCCCTGGCACGGCTTTATGAACACTCGTGGTGCTCTGGAGAGGTGCCGGAGGACTGGAAGAGGGCCAACGTGGTTCCCATCTTCAAAAAGGGGAGGAAAGAGGACCCGGGGAACTACAGGCCAGTCAGCCTTACCTCGATCCTGGGCAAGCTGTTCGAGAAAATTATTCTGGCACACATCCAGGAGGGGCCAGCAGGGAACTGCATGCTCAGGGGCAACCAGCACGGGTTCATCAGCGGCAGGTCCTGTCAGACCAACCTGGTGGCCTTTTACGACCAGGTCACTAAATCATTGGATGCAGGGGTGGCAGTGGATATAGTTTTCCTAGACTTCAGGAAGGCTTTTGATACTGTCTCTCACCCCATTCTCATTAGGAAGCTGGGGGACTGTGGCGTAGACACCCATACAGTCCAATGGGTCGCCAACTGGTTAGAGAGTCGCACCCAGAGGGTGGTAGTGGATGGGTCCTTCTCGACCTGGAAGGACGTGGGAAGTGGGGTCCCACAGGGCTCGGTCCTTGGGCCCGCCCTGTTCAACATCTTCATCAGTGATTTGGATGAGGGGGTGCAAAGCACCCTGTTCAAGTTTGCTGATGACACTAAGATGTGGGGGGATGTGGGCACAATAGAGGGGAGCAACAGGCTACAGTTGGACCTAGATAGGTTACAAGGATGGGCGGAGGAGAATAGGATGGGGTTTAACACAGACAAGTGTAAGGTGATGCACCTGGGGAGGAACAATCGGCACCATACATACAGGCTGGGGAACTCCCCTCTTGTCAGCACGGAGGTGGAAAAGGATCTGGGAGTCATTATTGACTCCAAGATGAACATGAGTCGGCAATGTGGGGAGGCGGCTAGGAAGGCCAACTGCACCTTGTCGTGCATCCACAGATGCATCTCGAGCAGGTCCAAGGAGGTGATCCTCCCCCTCTATGCGGCACTGGTCAGGCCGCAGCTGGAGTACTGCGTCCAGTTCTGGGCGCCGCACTTTAAGAGGGATGTGGACAGCATCGAGAGGGTCCAGAGGAGGGCCACTCGTATGATCAAGGGACAGCAGGGTAGGTCCTATGAGGAAAGGTTGCGGGACCTGAACCTGTTCAGCCTTCAAAAGAGAAGGCTGAGGGGGGATCTTGTGGCCTGTTATAAACTGGTTAGGGGGGATCAGCAGGCGCTGGGGGAGTCCCTGTTCCCCCGAGCGCCGCAAGGAGTGACCAGGAACAATGGTCACAAGCTGGCGGAGGGAAGGTTTAAGTTGGACATCAGGAGGCGCTACTTCACGGTCAGGGCGGCTAGGGTCTGGAACCAGCTTCCAAGTGAGGTGGTGCAGGCTCCCACCCTGGGGGTTTTTAAGAGGAGGTTGGATGACCACCTTACTGGGGTCGTTTGACCCCAGTGCTCTTCCTGCCATGGCAGGGGTCGGACTAGATGATCTGCTCAGGTCCCTTCCGACCCTAGAAACTATGAAACTATATTGGGATATTTACTCACTGCTGAGGAAGAGGGTCCTTGGCTCTGTGATTAACACTCCTTTTGTAGCATCAAAATTTCCCTAGAAATCTCCCATCTAAGGAATGACAAAAGTCCACCTTGTTTAGCATGGCAGATGCAAAAAGATTAGGTCAACTGCCTGGACACCTCCCTAAATTATGAACGATATGCTCTGGCAATGGGTTCGTGTGTGTGCGGTTGGCCAGAATTAGCAGCTGGCTTTAACTAAATTCAAATGCAAATGGTAAAGTATGTAGATTTTTAATTTAATAACCTTGCATTAGCACTTCTTTGATTAGTAAAAATGAACCAACATCGCATATAGAGTCTTGAGCATTATGCTAACCTGGAATCTCAGAACAAGATCCAGTCACACTTCTGTTTTCTCAATACCGTACAGGAACATCTTTCTTCCAAAATGAAGACGTTATGCAAGAGGAAAGGATTTCTTTGGGAAATATCTTTTATTGGACCAACTGCATAACTGAGGTAGAGTTAGACAAGCTTTTAAAGGTACAACATTCTTTGTCAGGTCATGGCTTTCACAGCCCTGCACCTTGCCAAAGCACTATCCTTTTTCCTGGTTTAAATCTCCTAGTCAAGTTTACAGAATAGAATGAAACAGAAAAAAAAAAATGAAATAGCCCCATACCCAGACTGATATCTATGCAAAAATCATCCCTCCCTAAGAAACCATTGGAGGCCCAATGAGATAAAATAAGCAAGCAATCAAAGAGAACCTGCAGTACGCTTCACTCCCACTCCCCAAATCACGGATCGTTAATGGGAATTGCTTACCCCTAGGCTGCTCCGCTCAACTCCCCAGCCATCTGAATCATGACCAAGTCATTCATAAAAAGCACATCAAATCAGAAGAGATCTGTGTAAGGCAGTGCAAGTCTATTCCAGACACTGGCCATGGATATTATTTCCTGCAACGCCATAATGACTACCACTTACAAGGTCACAACAGTGAAACATCACATGGCCCAGGAAAAAAGCCACAGCTAATAGCACATCCCTGTGCATATAGAAGCAAAAGACAGATAGGTTCATCCTATGAAGCAGTAAGAATGGGAATAAAATGGGTAGTTTGCATGTGGGCAGTTTGCCTCCCTACCTTGATTTACATTACACTTCCAAAAGAGACTGCCAACGTCTGATTAAAGGCGTTGAGAGGAGTTTAATCTGTTAAATGTATTTTAAAGCTCTCAGAGGTATCCTGACCTCTGCTTAGCTGAAAGGGTGGTAGTCATGACACAAAGGGTGCTCAGTGCTTCTCCAGATCAGTGGAATTAGCGCCACCCCTTTGTGAAGGCACAAGGCTCGGCTCAAAAAGGGTGCTTGCACCAATGCATCTCGTAGTTTTACATTGCCTCTTCTCATGCAACAGGAGCAGGTGGAAGGAACATCAGACAGAAGGCTCTGCTGCAATCTCTTCTACTCCTCTGGCTGCATGTGGGTTCTGGGGACCATCTTCAGTATGATGGGCTTCTTGGGTTGCATGAAACCCTTTGAGTCCAGCACTAGAGGGACCTTCACCACAAGGAGAGAGAAATAACAAGGTCATGCACCCTGAATGTTACAGAGTATTCACCAAAGATACATACAGGATCTTTAAATGGCAAATCTCTGCACTGAAAAAGGAAGAGATGCCTTCCACTGGCTGCTTCGAGGCAGCCACAGACACCGAGCTTGCAGCCGGGATTATCTGCCATGCAGTTTCAACCAACATATTTATTTCATGACAGGCACATAGAGCACTGACTCCCGCAGCGCTGACTTCAATCATCTCCGGAAGGAAGGGCTGAAGCTGATCCCGAGCAAGACCAAGGGCACGCCGAAAGGACATTCCTATAAGTTCTCTGACTACTGACTGAGGTTATCTGTCTTTGGATTGCTTACTCAGTTCGTAGTCTTGGGTCCCTTATTTGAACCTACGTAGTTCGTAGTCTTGGGTCCCTTACAGGGATCTCCTCTTTTTGAGAAAAGCCCTTTTAAGCCATGATCCAGGCAGATTTCCAGAGAAGCATGGGGAAGTTTGCCTTGCCCACAGTGTATTCATTCACTGGATCAAAGAGGTCTGCAGACTCCAGAGACATCCTTCTGAAATGTCTCACCTATGTAAAATTAATCTTCCAAGTGGTTCAATAATATATATGGCACTAACATGTATTGTACTGATTTATAATCACCTAAAGCAATGATGCCCAACTCATCAGGTCCTGGGGACTAGAGGAAAGGAAGTGGGGCAGGTCAGTGGGCCAGACACACAGTGCTGAGCCATGTCATGTGCCTGTGAGGCTAAAATTTGGCAGTGGCAGCAGTAACTGCTGTGGCTCCTGGAGATGGGGCAGCCACCACTCCTCCCACCACCAAATTTCATGGCTGATGACGTGGCTTTGTGCATTGAATCTGGCCTGCCGTTTGTATGGTCATCTCTGACCTATAGTATTTAACTCCACTTATGCCCATATGCCTCAAATCTACATGGGAAGCTTCCTTCCTGCTCTACCAGTGTGAAGATAAAACCAAGGCTTCAAATAAGGTTCAGTGCTCTACAAACTATGAATCTCTGAGGTCATAGGGGAAGGGTTTTGCATGTGGACAACCCATGCATCCTGAGCGCCCTACAAGTGCCCTATGAATCCTGAGACAGACATGAAAACGATCTCTCTACAAGACTATGCTAGCCCATCCACATTCAAACACAGGTCCTCACCGGGGTGTCTTTGCAGGTCCTGAAGGAAAATCTTTGCAAGAGGACAACTAAGGCCATTTTCAGGCTGAGGAGAGCAAACCTCATTCCAATGCAATTCCTTGGACCGGCTCCAAAGGGCAGGAAGATATAGGGGTCCATGCTGTCTCTGTTCTCTTTACTGAACCTGGTTCCAATCAGAGAAATAAAGAGGTTAATTCTTCATATCATCTCCTAGCCTTTTGCTCCATCTCTGACTCTGCCTTCATTTGTCCTAGTTTGATGTTGAACAGGGATTGTTTTTGAACCAGAACTGAAAAATTAATTTTAACTTCCTACACAGCTCTCATGGGGTGCCAAGCTTTGCAATGGTTCATTTTGGGGCGGGGTATTGTTTCCTTATACAGAGGTATCCCTGTATGTTGGACCATCTGCTGTCTTGATTAGTCTCAGTCTAATTCCAAGGAGGAATATTCTGCACCGGTCCGGTTCTGCAGGGAGCAAACCAGGAAAGCCAAGGCTGCAACTGAACTCCAACTAGCTTCGAGCATCAAGGACAATAAAAAGTCCTTTTTCAGATATGTGGGGAGCCAGAGGAAAAGCAAGGGCAACATTGGACCCCTGCTGAACCAGATGGGCGGACTGACAACTAATGCCCAGGAAAAAGCTAACCTATTAAATGGGTACTTTGTATCGGTCTTTCATCAGTCCCATGGGACGCCCATGCCCACTACAGGACAGGGAGGTCCGGGT